CGAATCTTCGATCCGGTAGAGGTGAGCGAACGGATAGTCTGGGTGAATCCCCATTGGTGCGATGTAGTGACAGTTGACACCGTACTTTGAGAGGATGATTGACTAATAGTGAAAGATCTTATTCTGAAGATGTTCGTGTAGAGAGTTTCTTTTGATTAACTGATGGGCGTCTTCGGGCTATTGGCTTCGAAATCGTAATAACGCTTTGTCGAAGTAGATGAGCTCGCCATTAGATGAATCTCCTTTGGTGGGTTTCGGCTAAGCATGTCTGCAAGAGTATTTTTCTTGCCCTTTAAATAGAAGGATTCCAAGTCGTATTTTGAAAACCATTCGCTCCATCGTAATAGCAGCTGGCGTGGGACCATTTTATGCTTGAATTGTAACATTTTTGGGAAAGAGGACATATCCATTTTGATACAAAATTTATGTCCAATCAGATGGAACTCGAACTTCTCGATAGTCTTCTTGACCGCCAAGATTTTTTTGAACGTGGAGTGATCATGCATTACTGCATCTTTAAAGCGTCCATTTTTTTAACCACAGATTTGATGTTTTCCATTTATCTCTTCGAACAGTATGGCTCTCCAATATTTTTCAATGGTATCAGTCTGCAAAATATTGTGGTGGATTCTTTGTGAGCATCTTTTGGAGTGGTCTTTTCAATTACAAAATTTTCGGGATAAAGTCGCTTACATAATTGATTACTCCAAGGAATTGTTGGACTTGTCGCCTTGAGAAATTTTCGTCTGGAAAATCAAGAAGAGTTGTAGCTGGATGAGACTGGGGTATTATCTGTCTTTTGTTAATCTTCATTCCAAGGAAGTCGATGTTGGGATGGGCTATAATCATCTTTCGGGCTGAGAGCATAATTCTGAATTCCTTGACAATGCTCTGAAACTTTCTGAGAGTCTGAATATGCTCTGTTGTACTTGACGAAAATAAGAGAATGTCGTCGATGTAATTTAGAGTTGTGTTGATTAGTAGCTTTAATATCCTTAACATCACCTGCTGGAATAGTGAGGGTGCTGTCTTTAATCCAAAAGGCAGAACACTCCACTGAAGATGGCTATTTGGCAGACAGAATGCCGTCTTGTACCTTTCCTCTGGATGAACTCCAAGTTGCAAAACCCTGATTTGAGGTTGAACTTTGAAAATATTGTTGCTCCTTGTAGATGATGTAGAAGGGCATTCTTGTTTGGCAGAGGGAACTTGACATCTTGAAGATATTGGTTCAAAGGCTTGTAATCGATAACTAGCCAGAGTTTCCCTCTTGCTTTTTCTGCTCTGATGTTTACGTAAAATGCTTTGCACGCCCATGGTGAATTTGTTACTGAGACGATTCCTTGGTTGACCAGTTGGTCACATTCTCCGTTCGCCTGTTGCAATAAGTTAGGTGGCATTCCTGCTTGACTCGCCTTTGTCGGATTGGTGTGAACATCTTCTTTGAAAGGTAATGAAACAAAGAACTCCGAATTTAGCCACAGTGGATTTTTGTACTTCTGAAGGAAATCCGTATGAGGATCTGCACAGGAAATTATTGTGATTTCTTTCTTTGATCTTGTTGAACTCGGGAGGTGTCGCATCTTCAAGTGAAAATATGTGAGGTATTGTTGTGAAAGCTTTGTATAAAGACTTCCATTTCATTCCTCGTGGCTCGAGTGAGATATCGAACCTCTTCTTTAATGCATAGTATGTATTCTATCCCATGATTAGATCTTTTCCAGGAACAGAAGATCCTAGAATTTCTGTTGTAACTTGACATCCTGGGAAAATTTCTATGGTTATTGGTTTGGACTTGAGCCTAACTGATAGCGAGCCAGCGTTTGCGACTCGGAACTCTTGTTGGTGTGGCAGCCACATAGAAGACGGAAGAACTGCTTAAACAATTTCTGAGTAGGAACCTCTGGTCATCGTATTGACTAAAGTCATGTTGACAGACGGGGGTGGTAGTTTCCGAGTAAGGGAGCTTTACTGGGCACTCCGGTCTCTTACTTGTTCAGCCACCGTTAGGAATATTACCCCCCCTCCAAAAGTCGTATTGACTGGAGCCGTATTGATTAACCAGAAAGCTCAAGCATCGATCTGGAGCAGATCGGTGTTTTTCTGACGACAGAAAGTAACCAAGGCTTATGACGATGTTAGGAAGTCTGAAAAACTTAAAGACTTTAGAGACTCATTTAGAGAGAGAAATTAGAGAGAAATTTTTATTGAAATTCTGAGATGATTTGTTACAAGGGGATACACACATATTTATAGGGAGGAAGAGTGCACGCTGACATAAACGCTTACCTCATCCTACATTATTGATGTGCTGACATAAGCGCTTACATCACTACTTATTTATTTCAAACATGCTTATAATCTTACATAATTATACATAATGAAGTATTTAGAGATACTTTATTTAGTGATCCATCTCGAACTCAATGAAATGTTTGGCGCAACAATCATAGTGATCTCCTGGACATTCGTATTCTTCTTCTGGTTCTTCAAAGTTTTCTTCGGGCTCCGTGTTGACGTCGATGTTGAACATTTTCCCGATTTTATCAATATTCATAGAATCGTCAGGGAGTTGTGCATTTTGGAAATATTCTGGCGGGCACTGTTGAGACGTCTCTTCTAGTTTTGCTATCTCTGGAGAGATCTGCCTTGTGATCTTCGTATTATCCGTCATGCTTTCGTGTTTCATCATGAAGTATTGTAAATCTTAGTCGAGGATCATCTGGTAGTCAGCAGAATAGTAGATCCAGCTTGGGTTGAATGGAATGGGGAATGTCTGCCTGGCAGTGTTGATGCGAAATGCGTGTGTTTGAAAGTCTTCGTAAGGCTTGTTTTCATGGATATTGAAATTTTGGCTGATTTCTCTTCGGTAGTCGTTGTGGTGAATGAGTGTGGGTAGTGCATGAAGTTTGTTGGACATGATGTTGATTTGAACAGGTCGGTGGAAGAAGTATATATTGTGATGGTTGAAGAACGGATTAAGGCATCTCTGACCTCTTAATTGCTTGAATGGCAAGCTTGTTGCTTTTGCTGATTTTCTTAGTTTTTTGTTCCAGATGTTGAAAGATGCAAACCATGTTAGGAAAATCGAGATACAATCCTTCTGACCTTGCTGGGCATTGATGTATTGATATAGCCATCCTATGTCGAATGTGATGCCAATGATGTAGACCGAGCATATATACCATAGGAAGCACAGAACTTCCTCAGGTATGTTCAAATTTTCGATCCGGTAGAGGTGAACGAAAATTGTCCGGGTGAATCCCCATTGGTGCGATGTAGTGACAGTTGATACCGTACTTTGAGAGGATGATTGACTGATAATGGAAGATCTTATGCTGAAGATGTTCGTGTAGAAAGTTTCTTTTGATTAACTGATGGGTGTCTTCGGGCATGTAGGCTTCCAAGTCGTAATAATGCTTTGTCGAAGTAGATTAGCTCGCCATTAGATGAATCTCCTTTGGTGGGTTTCGGCTAAGCATGTCTGCAAGAGTATTTTTCTTGCCCTTTAAATAGAATGATTCGAAGTCGTATTTTGAAAACCATTCGCTCCATTGTAGTAGCTGCTGGTGTGGGACAATTTTTTGCTTGAATTGTAACATATTTGGGAAAGAGGACATATCCATTTCGATACGAAATTTATGTCCAATCAGATGGAACTCGAACTTCTCGATAGCCTACGTGACCGCTAAGATTTCTTTGAACGTGGAGTGATAATGCATTTCTGCATTTTTTATAACCACAGATTTGACGTTTCCAATTTATCTCTTCAAACAGTATGGCTCCCCAATATTTGTCACTCGCATCAGTCTGTAAAATACGTGTCCCCGAGGAGGGAATCTTTAGTGGTGGTAGCTTATGTATCTATATCTATAGCCTTTTGACTGCTTCTGTTTGTTATTTTGCCCATTGTGGTGGATTCTTCGTCAGCATATTTTGGAGTGGTCTTGTCAACTGCGAAAGTTGCAGGATAAAGTCGCTTACATAATTGATTACTCCAAGGAATTGTTGGACTTCTCGCCTTGAGAGATTTTCGTCTGGAAAATCAAGAAGAGCTATATCTAGATGAGACTGAGGTGATATATGTCCGTTGTTAATCTTCATTCCAAGGAAGTCGATGTCGTATTTTGAAAACCATTCGCTCCATCGTAATAGCAGCTGGCGTGGGACCATTTTATGCTTGAATTGTAACATCTTTGGGAAAGAGGACATATCCATTTTGATACAAAATTTATGTCCAATCAGATGGAACTCGAACTTCTCGATAGCCTTCTTGACCGCCAAGATTTTTTTGAACGTGGAATGATCATGCATTACTGCATCTTTAAAGCGTCCGTTTTTTTTAACCACAGCTTTGATGTTTCCCATTTATCTCTTCGAACAGTATGGCTCCCCAATATTTTTCAATCGTATCAGTCTGCAAAATATTGTGGTGGATTCTTTGTGAGCATCTTTTGGAGTGGTCTTTTCAATTGCAAAATTTTCGGGATAAAGTCGCTTACATAATTGATTACTCCAAGGAATTGTTGGACTTGTCGCCTTGAGAGATTTTCGTCTAGAAAATCAAGAAGAGTTGTAGCTGGATGAGACTGAGGTATTATCTGTCTGTTGTTAATCTTCATTCCAAGGAAGTCGATATTGGGATGGGCTATAATCATCTTTCGGGCTGAGAGCATAAATCTGAATTCCTTGACAATGCTTTGAAACTTTCTGAGAGTCTGAATATGCTATGTTGTACTTGACGAAAATAAGAGAATGTCGTCGATGTAAATTAGAGCTGTGTCGATTAGTGGCTTGAATATCCTTAACATCGCCTACTAGAATAGTGAGGGTGTTGTCTTTAATCCAAAAGGCAAAACACTCCACTGAAGATGACGATTTGGCAGACATAATGCTGTCTTGTACCTTTCCTCTGGATGAACCCCAAGTTGCCAAAACTCTGATTTGAGGTCGAACTTTGAAAATATTGTTGCTCCTTGTAGATGCTGTAGAAGGGCCTTCTTGTTTGGCAGAGAGAACTTGATATCTTGAAGATATTGGTTGAAGTGCTTGTAATCGATAACTAGTCTGAGCTTCCCTTTTGCTTGTTCTACTCTATTGTTTACGTAAAATGCTTTGCACGCCCATAGTGAATTTGTTGCTGAGATGATTCATTGGTTGACCAGTTGGTCACATTCTCTGTTTCCTGTTGCAATAAAGTAGGTGGCATTCCTGCATAATTCACTTTTGTTGAAGTAGTATGAACATCTTCTTTATAAGGTAATAATACAAAAAAACTCTGAATTTAGCTACAATGAATTGTTGCACTTCTGAAAAAAATCCGCATGAGAATCTGCATAAAAGATTATGGTGATTTTTTCTTTGATCTTGTTGAATTTAGAAGGTGCCGCATCTTCAAATGAGAATATGCGAGATCTTCATAAATTTTTAAGTTTTCGAAATTTTCTAACATCTTCATAAACCTTAGTTACTTTTCTAATATCCTGATATTTTATTTTTTCTCCCTAACAGAAAATAAATCTATTTACCGACCCAGAAAAGAATAAAAAAAACTCATTTGATAAGATGAATGAGACTAAATCATTTGATCTCCTGCGAGTTAAGCTAGTAAACTAAAAATTTCCGAAGCATCCATGGCGATAATCGAATTTCTGTCTAGAGAGTACGGATACGTCGTTCTCGTCCTCGTCTTCTACTGCTTCCTCAACCTTTGGATGGGTGCTCAAGTCGGCAGAGCTCGCAAAAGGTTTTCCACAAACTTCCTCTTCCCTTTCTTCGCTATTCTCAGATTTAAAACGATCGTCTCTGTTAATTAGGCGTGATTTTAGCCTTTAATTCGAATCTGGTAGAATCGTCAGTTCGCTCTTGCTTTCTCTCGATTTCTGTGCGAATGACTTATCTCCATGTTTTTTTTTTGTGACTGGGAAAAAAAACTTATGCTCCAGTTACAAATTTATCATATATTTGCAGAGTTTAAGTCCAATTTCGTCTTAAATTTCTTTGTGAAACTGGAATTTTCTTTTATTGGATCTCTTGTTTGTTCCTGTTTGCTATTGTGTCCTCGTAATTCAATTTTCATTTGAGGAACATGTTATAGTGATTTTAATATTACTGTTTCGTTGAAATCTCACCAAAACCCTGGCACGATTTTGCTCTCATTCTAGTGCATATTCGTCCTAATTTTTGGATTTTGTTGTTAAATCTTTTGATTGTTTATGTTTTCTTGTATGCTCGTTCATTTGAGAATCATGTAATTGTGATTTGAAACCACTGCCTCGTTGCAATTTTATCAAATACCGGGAGGGTTTTGCTCTCACCCTAATCTAGTTTCGACATAATTTTTGATTATTTATTATGTTTCTGTTTTTCTTTTATGTTCTCTTCAATTCAATCGTCATTTGAGAAACATGTTATTGTGATTTAAAATCACTGTTTCGTTGCAATTTTTTTAAATACTGGAAGATTCTGCTCTCACAGTATCCAATTTCGTCTTGAGTTTTTGGATTCTGTAGTCTGATCCTTTCGTTCCTCTATGTTTTTTTTTTCAAAGCATGTGACTATGATCAATTTAATCTTTTTTTTTTTTTTTTTTTTTGATCAAGATCAATTTAATCAATATATGAAACTCTTTCTATAATACTTGATGCAGGTACAGTGTGCCGTATCCAACTCTATATGCTATAGAATCAGAAAACAAAGACGCTAAACTCTTTAACTGTGTTCAGGTTGGAAAAGAGATTAAAAAAAAAAAAAACCCTTCTCTTGTGATTCTGTGTTCAGATGCTAACTTCTTTTCTGATTTTAACTCACTTACATTGAAAAATTTTGGTTGTGCAGAGAGGGCACCAAAACTCTCTAGAGATGATGCCAATGTTCTTCATACTAATGATCCTTGGTGGAATGAAACATCCTTGCTTCTGTGCTGGTTTGGGTTTGCTTTACAATATTACTCGATTCTTCTACTTTAAAGGTTACTCTACTGGAGATCCCATGAAACGTCTCACCATCGGGTTTGATTTCTTTTTCTTCTTCTCTTGTTGATTGACATATATCTGTTCAACTTGTAATCTGTATCCTCTATGTTGCAGGAAATATGGTTTCTTGGGATTGCTAGGTCTCATGATCTGTACCATCTCGTTTGGTGTCAGTTTGATCCGTAGTTGAGTTGAGCCAGTCTTTTGTGAGGTTTGTTCGTGGACTTTGAATCCGGGTCTTGTAAAGTGACCACAAACTTGGGTAATAAATCTTAGAGTTTGTCACTTTGCTGCTTACTTATGTTTTTAAAAGTTGTAATAAATCATGGCGTTGTGTAGAACAGTTAATAACTTTCACATCCCTATAGAAAAATCTCAAGCCTTGCCTCCTCATTAAGTTTGGACATCTCGGTTTAGTTTTTTTTCTATCATCCTAAATTTGTGAACCAAGTGTTTGAAAACAAAACAGGGGAACCCAAAAAAACAGAGTGGTTAACATAACCCTCGAGATAAACGCATACTAAAAAAGATAACTGGATGCTTTGTGACTTTCTTGTCTCAGCTGATCTTGTAATTAGGATAGACGTGGTTGGAATCATTCATCTTTTGTAACACTTTTGAATCAGCAACTGAATTAGTTGACAGTTTTTTTCTATTTTGAATTCACATCGGTCAAAGAATGATGGACTTCGTAAGGGAGCGGTATCGGGGTTACCCAATTGGTTTTACGATGGTTTTAACAGCTTCAGCATAATCTGAAACTATGCTGACATGTCGAATTCACAGGTCTTATAGGCTATGCAATGCTCATATTAGCGGCACCAGTGTGCAGTATAGAATTCCTCCAATTGGCGTTGATCTTGCATTTGATTATCTCTGGCATTGGGTTTTGCCACTAGTTTTCACTTATTTCCAGATTGACACTGGCGCTGGATAGTTGAGCTTGTTACGTATCATCGCTTCTTTCACATTTTTATAAAAGATGACATGTGGAGCTTCTTGTCTCCAAGCCATAATATCGCGTTGCGGTTCTTCCATTATTTCACTTTAATCGGAAGATCGCTTTTTCTGATACTCACATGGATGTTGTTGTCTTCCATTAAGTTCAGTATCATCGGTTTGTTTGTCTCTGGCGAGTCAGAGAAGAGGCTCCCATTACTTGTAGGAAAATGTAAAACGAAGCTAAAAGCTTTAAGAGAAAAGAGTTTGCTTAAAGCATTTCTGATTTCATTCAACTTAACCGTAAGGTTTATAATTGCAGGAGTATTTATAGTACTCAAAGAAAATCCTAGTGAAGCAAGAGTATAGATCCTAAATACACTCGGTTTCACCATATTCTAAACAATCGAATATGTTCCTGATAACCACACATACAGCTGGATCATATCAAAAAGAGCCGTTGCAGATAAGTTTTGATGATTCAAAGGTTTGGGCTTCGTTTTATTGCACAGGTCCAATAGTTTGTTTTTGTTTCCTTTGCAGCCCATTTCCACATTTGTTGACTTCGGAGTTGACTTCTCTGTTCTATCACTCCCCCTCAAACTTTGTGGAGGATAATCCACACCAAGTTTGAAACTTAAATCCGAGAAAGCATGGAACAGTAATGGTTTCGTGAAGATGTCAGCAAGTTGATGAGCGGCAGAGATGTGATGAACAACAAGCGAGCCTTGAGCAACTTTCTCTCGAACGTAATGAAAGTCCACTTCGAAGTGTTTCGAGTGCTTGTGCATAGCCGGGGTTACAGACAAATAAACAGCAGAAAGGTTGTCATAGTAGAGCTCCGATGGTGGAAGCTGTGAAAACCCAATGTCACAGAGAAGATTGCCGAGCCAAGTGAGTTCTGCAGCAGCGTCAGAAAGAGTTCTGTACTCGGCTTCAGTCGAGCTGCGAGAGACTGTCGCTTGTTTCTTTGCAGACCAAGAGATGATATTAGAGCCTAAGAAAGTGCAGAAACTTCCAGTAGAGTGTCGTGTATCTTTACATCCAGTCCAGTCACTGTCACTATATGCTCGAACAGTAAAATCAGTATCACCGGTGAGATTGAGGCTAAAATCTGTGGTTCTCCGGAGATAATGAAGGATGCGCTTCAGTAGATTGAAGTCAGCAACAGAATGATAATGCATCTTTTGGCATATATAGTTCACAGAGAACTGGATGTCTGGCCTGGTAAACGTAAGATACTGCAACTTACCAGCAAGACTGCGAAAATAAGTAGGTTCAGGGAAGAGATCTTCCTGATTTGGAACTCTGTCAAGTTGAGAAGGCAGAGGTGTTGGCATTGACGAGCATTCAGACATGCCTGCAATGTGAAGAAGATCCTCGGTGTACTTCTCCTGATTTAGAAACAGACCGTCATCAAGAAATGAGCTTGAATCGCAAGGAAGTAGTGAAGGCGTCCTAGATCCTTCATCTTAAACTCACTGTGCATAACAGCAAGCAACTGAGCGATAAGCGTATTGTTGTTGCCGGTTAAGACCATGTCATCGATATAAAATAGCAGAAGAATAACATCACCATTCTTCAGATAAACAAAAAGGGATGGATCAGCGGTGGAGCAGGTGAAGCCAAAATCCAGCAAATAAGTACTGAATTTGTTGAACCATGCCCAAGGAGCCTGCTTAAGACCGTAGATAGCTTTGTGAAGCTTGCAAACGAACCCTGGCTTCATCGGATCAACATATCCAGGAGGTTGATGCATGTAGACAGTTTCAGTGAGATCACCATGGAGGAAAGCACTGGTGACATCAAGCTACTTGATGTCCCATTTTAAGACAACTGCAGCATGTAGAATCGAGCAGACTGTTAGGCATTTTCACCATGGGACTATATGTGTCAAGATAGTCTATGCCTTCCTCTTGATCAAACCCTTTGGCAACAAGACGAGCCTTGAGCTTGTCAAGAGAACCATCAGCATGTAGTTTGGTTCGAAATATCTATTTGCAGCCAAGTATATTCATGTCCGGATGGTAAGGGACCAAGGAGAAGGTCTTTGTGTCCTTCAAAGTATCAATTTCTTCTTTTGTTGCTGCATTCCAAACCGGATGCTTCAAGGCAGAGGTGGTTGTCTTTGGTTCCGGAGGAGTGAAAGTAATCGTAAGCATAGCATAACGGGGATTGGGCTTAGATATTCCAGCTCGGAGACGAGTAGTCATAGGTGCTGGCCTGAGAGGTGAAGGAACAGTCGCAGAAGTTGAGACAATAGCTTGCGGTGAAGATGCAGGAGGAGACACTAGTGGTGGAAAATCAGCATCAGTAATCAACGGAGCGTCAGAGAGCTCCAGAGTAGAGTTTTCTGCAGAGACGACAACAACTGCAGGAGGTTCTTCCGGTGAAAAGGATTCTGCCGGTCGAGGAGGGACAGAGTGAATGAAACTCTGTTGCCAAGCAGAATGCAGGGGAGTGGTGGGTCTTGGGTGAAGATGAGAATAAGCTGCTTCAAAGGGGGACACCGTTTCATCAAACAGGACATGCAGACTGATGTAAACTCTCCCTGTAGGTGGATGTAGACAGCGATAGCCTTTATACTTGTCATTATAGCCCAAGAATACACACTGCAGAGATTGCGTATCAAACTTGTTGGATGTATATGACCTGAGAGAGGGATATCATGCACAACCAAAGGAGCGAAGAGCAGAGTAGTCTGGTTGCTGGTTGAATAACACTTCATGTGCACTTTGTTTGTTGTTAGTGGATGAATGAAGAAGATTATTGAGAAAGTTTACAGTAACGAATGCTTCAACCTAATATTAGTGTGGGATTTTGCTTTCGAACATCATTGCAAGGCCAAGCTCAGTGATATGTCGATGTTTTCTCTCAGCAACGCTATTTTGTTGAGGTGTATGAGGAACAAGAGATGAATTGTTTGATCCCACATTGTGTGAGATGGTGAAGAAATTTTGTACATGTGAATTCACCACCACCGTCACACTGAAAGGACTGAATCTTAAGACTGAATTGTTCTCAATAAACAACTGAAACTTGATGAAGGTTGAGAGAAAATCTGATTTATTTTTAAGCGGATACATCCAACAGAACCTTGAAAAATTGTTAATAAAGATAACATAATATCTGAACACCTGAAACAAAGTTGCTGGAGCAGGCCCCCAAAGATCGCAGTGGAGACGTTCTAGAGGACAAGTAGCGATATAAGCAGAAGAGAAAAATGGCAACCGTGCACTTTTAGCAAGCTGACAGGAGTCACAAAGCTTGTTGGCAACTTTATTTGTAGAGATAGCATTGATCTTGACCAGATGTTGAAGAATCTCAAAGCTTGGATGTCCCAACCGCCTATGCCAAACATCTAAACTTGTGGTTAGCTGTCTGTTGGAGTAGAAGGCTGGAAACGCTGAAGGATTCCTCAGAACATACAGGTCATTATGTCTGCTTCCTTGAGTCAAGAGCTGTTTGGTGACTTTTTCCTTTATACGAACATCATTAGCATCAAATTTGACGGTACAAGGGTAATCGCTTGTCAACTTAGACACAGACAGAAGAGATTTAGCAATATCAAGGCAAACAAGAACCTGATTAAGTGAGAGATTACCTGACACAGTCTGCAGAGGAATGAAGCCAATATGTGTGATAGGGAGAAAGCTTCCATCCGCAACCATGACATTGTCATTGCCACGATACGGTTGTGATGTCTGAAGATTCTGAGTAGAGTTGGTGATGTGTGCAGTGGCTCCAGTGTCAGGGTACCATTCATGACCAGGAGACTGTTGCTGTTGTTGGTCAGACACTGTCATTGCAGCGAGGGCTTGAGGTAGTTGATTCGCAAAGATGTCAAATTTGGATCGTATGGATCATAACAACTGTAGCATTTTGCTGCAGTGTGACCGTATTTCCCACATATTTGACACGAAGGTCGTTGTCCAGAGTTGTGGTAAGCACCACGACTGTTGCTCGGTGAGAACTGTTGTGGAAAGCCTCTTCCTTCAGTGGAGTAAGAGCCTCTGCCACGAGAATGACCCATGTTTTGACCAGAGTAGTTACCTCTGCCACGACTTGAGTAGCCTCCTCTGTCCGAATAGAAAGCTTGATGTGGAATGATCGCAGAGGAATCTTCATAAGTTTGGAGCGTCTCATCAAACCCAATCAGCTTGTACATGACATCTTCATAAGAAGGACTTGTGTGTGAGTCCATTGAATCTTCAATCAATGTGGTAATGGACTCATATTCTCGCCCAAGCCTATTTATTTAGATAGATTTGCTCAAATGAGCTTTATTTAGATATAAATTATTAAAAGAGAAATAGCTCATAAGAGCTTTATTATGCAAGAAAGTAAATGAAAAGGGAAAGCTTTAGGTTGTCACCAAGATCAAATAAATGTCGATTGATTCATATAATAAAAGAGAAGAGGCTGCTGTTTTGAGCAGCCAAAATTATATTTTAAGTTCTCATAACATAGATATTTATATCTAAACTACTTGCTTGGAAACTGGGCTTGGCTACACAACAAACTGGGCTT